AAATGGTCAATTAGTTGCTCAAATTGAAGTTAAAAAATGACCTTGATTGAAAATAAGAAAGTAATTTAAAGAAGATTAAGGAAATTTTCTTCTGAAATTAATTCCAACTATCAAAGAAAATGGTAGTATTTTCCTTTTAAAGATTTTTGCTTTTTATTACTGAATTAATCATTTTGCTAATGACGAAACGGATAAAAAATTATTAAATCATCATTACTAAAATAATAATGATGACCCTTAATATCACGCGATATCGATTTATCGTGATAGATCGACCGATTTATTGAATTTTTTTAAATAGTAAAAAAAACTTTTTGCCGAGTTAGCCAAAACCGATTTATCGAGTGACTGACTTATCGAGTTTACATATGCAATTACACCCACTTTATTATTATTCAAATATGTCTTTATTTTGGAATTTGCACAGTTGTAAGCATGTTTTATGCTTGTATGTCTGGCAGCGTTCTTTTTTTATCAGTATGTATATGTATAGAAATTGCTATTACTCTCTTGTTTTTCGTAAGAACATAATAGCATGGTAATAGTAATATTAATGATATGTCAAGTTTTTTTTCATTTTATTATCATTATATGATTGATTTTAAAGCTCATTAAACACTTTTTGATATTTAGGCCAAAATTTTTATTCTTTTAAATAAAAATTCATATTTATTTTAATAAGTCATATGTTTAGATTTTTAAATTCATTATATTGGCACCGATTTTTTCAACTCTTGTTGTTAATATTGTTTAATTGATAATCGGGAAATGCTGGTTTAGGGGTTGGATTATTTGTGCCAACGCCATTCATGTCTTCAATCACTAACTATTCTTTTGCCGGATAGTTCCAACACATCAACAAGATAATTGGTCATTTGTTGATTATTACCAGGTGTTGATGTAATTATGAGACATTCCTCACTCTTGGAAACAATTGGGTAATTGATTGATTGCACATAGATGCCGTGTTTACTCAATCAATAATTGGTCAGATGCAATTTTAGAAGTTTCGGCCTCTTCGCCAACCAATATAGGTACAATGTGAGAAGGGTTTGGCGCAACAGGAATATTCAATTGAGCAAGACATTCTTTCAACTAACGAGTATTAAGTTGTAGTATTGTACGTTCTTTTGTTTGATTCTTTCAAATGTTGAATAGATGCAGCAATGAAAGTTAGCAATCTAATCGTATATACGAGACTTGCCGAAGCTGCAATATATTAGCAAATGTTTTACTAAGCGTGCCAGAGATGATATCAATTTTATCTAGAACACTACCACTACCAGCATAAGGACAATGGACATTCAAGTCGAAATACAAATGTTTGGCAACGCCGCCACCACGAGGACCGTCAAGAACTTCATCCAAAAAAGTAATCACGTCATATTTCTTTGCCAAATCGCAAATTTTTTCAATATGATCAATAGAACCAGACGTGGAATAAACATTTTCAAAAGCAATATTTTTGGTAGGTCGATATCACTGATTGAAGCTTTCCCTCGAGATCTTTTAGATTGTTATGTTCGAAGATAAATTTTTTTGATCAGAATGTCTAATATCTTGTATCATTGATACATGGCCTGAAGCAACAGAAAATATTACACAACCAGGAAGTTTTGAAGCAGATATTATAGTTTGCCGTATAACAAGGAGTGAAATCAAAGCTGCAGGTTTATGATCGGCCAATCAAGCTTCTGAAAATTACAATCACCAGCACCAGCGTCATAACATCTTTATTTGTTGTTGTTATTGAAGGAGAAGAAAGAACGGTGTATTCTGGAATGAGTAAAAACCCTGTGGTTCTTGAATCCGTGCAGTAAGTTTTACAAATTTTCTTTTTGTAATTTAATTTCGAAAGAAAAAACATACAATAATAATGAATTTATTTCTCTTCTAAACAGTAACCTTTTCTTTCATGTTAGCAGTGCGAGCTTTTGGAAAATGATTAGTAAGACAATTAATATTATTAAAGTGCTTCATAACCAAAGAATTTGGTATTAGTATAGTGAGTAATTGACATCATGTGCTGTTGTTGTTGAGGAAGATAATTAGGGTAATTGTAGGAATGGTGGAGAATATTATTTATATTAATAACTATATATTGATATGCATTTGACTTAAAGAGTTGGCAATTATTAAAGTTAATTATGATCATTTATTAAGAAGGCAATTACTGCGAACAACTATATTATTAGTATTGCCAACAATGAAGCAGAGGAGATAATGGAAACTTGCTTCAAGGTCGCTTGTTCAATTTGACCGAGGAATGAAAATAATTTGTTTTAAACAGTCAAAGCTTTATTCAAATTTGTCCCAAAGCAAAATTCGACTTTCTAGTAAGATGATGAAGAGTTGCAATGTTAATGTTGCAAAGAAAAGGATGAATGGTTCTTATATAAAAACTTTAAGCCACTTGACCAATTATTATAATATTATTACTTTATTATGAACACTATACTTCATTTAAGTCCAATTTTAAATACTGCCCACAAGATATTCATTTCACCATAATATAAAATTTGTAATGAATTTGTTTTATTCGTTTGATTTATTTGGATTTAATTTATACATATTGAAAAAAAAATTTTTCTTTTAAAAATAGTCAATATAATACAAGCTATTGCTTTTTATCATGTTGTTGATCTATCTTTTCCTTGACAATAATAACAGTACAGTGACAATTATGGGTACAATAGTCACTAACTGATCCTAAAAGAGTTCTAATGTGCATAAATATTTTGGGAATAATTAGCATTTAAATTGTTTGATGATTTCAATTATTTGATTCATTGGATAAAAAAGAAAAATCTCCAACCTTTTCAATGCACCTAATCCACGACTACCCAATATTAAAGCCTCAGCATTCAATTCACCAACCTTACGTACAATCTCATCTCTTGCGTCTCCTCTCATTGCTATAGCTTTACATGCAAACTAATTTAAATAATTAAAAAGGTGATTATTATTATCACCATTGTCATTATTATTATTTACTAATCAACACTAATTAGCTATTAATTACAAAATACCTACATTGTGACTCTTTAATTTAGCAGCATATTCTTGTAACAATGTATGACTATTAATACGATGCTAAATTTATTTTAAAAATTAGAATAAAAATTTAAGAATTAATTGTCTATTTTTGTTATATTGATTTCTCTTAAATCCTAATTAGTTACTTGTTCTTCTAGGCTAGTTACAACTTCATTGAAATCCATATAGCTTGCACCAATTGCTGAATATGTCAAGGAAAAGAAATTAATTAATCAATTCATCAATTTAAGAAACATTTCCCATCTACAATTCATATCTTCTTACCAGCATAAGGTACAGGAACTGTAGGAATTTGTCGAACATTAACTAACACAACCTAATTAATTCAATTAATTAAACAACAAGAATGTTAATTGCAATTCCAATATTAAGCTTTCTAATTACAATCACACAAATAAATTAATTAAATATATACCAAATCAGTTTCTTTTCTTAAAAAGTTTTTTAAAGACCAATCGAATGCTTGCTGACTATTACTTGAGTGATCTAAAGCTATGATCACAGTACGAGTAATAGGTGTTTGAGATTCTGAATCTTGAGCAGTGGTTAACTCTGTATCATCTGTGTGAAGTGGTTGTTGTTCTGATTGTGTTGTTTGAGTAGCCTGAGTAGAAGTTGTTGACATTTTTGTAAGTTAGAGTTTTTTTAGAATTAGAATTTTTAGAATTAATTGATATTGAGTTGTAAAAAATATTTCTTTCTTTTGGAGAATATTAGGAGTATATATAAAAAAATAATGGGGTGATTTTCTCTGATCATTAAAAAAAATCATCCTACGTTGCTTGAAAAATTTTCACACCATTAATAATCATTTGGCCGATCATACTTCAATAGGGATAAACTTCACATAAACGTCATAGTCTTTAAAAAAAATTTTTTTTTAGCTGTTTGTGCGTGTGTATGTTGCCATCCATTTTTTTTAACATGGTACAATGCAAAAAGTAGATTAATTCATCATATCATTTTTAGAGATGATATCCTTAATAACAATTACTTTGGCTATATTAATATTAATATGCTCTTTACATTACCAAATCGTCCCAGGGTAAGTTTCATAATATAAAAAAGTCTACCAAATCGTCCCACTATATACAATAGGACAAAAATACTATAGAAATAGTCAAATAACTGATCTATAAACACACACACACACACATAAAAATGAACCAAAATTTAAGTCCAAGTATTTTAAATATACCTGACAACTTTTAAATCAATTTTGGGGCGATCATCATATAAATGTGTGAGAATGAATCGTCATGAAAAGTTAGCACATACACAATATGTAATTTAAAAAAATCATCTGAAAGAATAAAATAAAACCTAGTTTTTAAAAATTTTTGTAATCAAATAAAATTTCAGAATGCTTTGTTATAGAGGAAAGTGAGATTTGATAGATTAAAACATAATAAAATTTCAAAAATTCATTGCAGGCCAGGCTATATTTGTGAGTCAGATATTACAGGAAATGTAACAGGAAAAAGTGAAATTCAAAAAAGAAGTATTATTATTTCCATTAACAGCAGCACAAATAATAAATTTTGTCTCATTGAGTTCTAATTGAACATTCATATTTAAACGTATAGGAGGAACACATGTTTGTTTTTCTCCTTCAGGCATTTTTCAATTATTGAAAGTCCATCTAGTTTACAGTGAATAGGTCACAATGAAGTGTTGGAACAAGTTACCAACAGCAATAAGTTGAGGTTTATGTTTTTGTGAAGACATCATAAGTTATTTGTGAGGAAATTGAGATTTATGAAATTATCTAATTTATATGTTTTTATTAACCCACAATTTACTATTACTATTAAATGTAGATCATTGGCAATTAAACTAATAGTTTTATTCTTTTATTTTTATTTTTAAATTAGAATCAAATTAGAAATGCAATCTGTGTCAACATTATTATGAAATTATATCTGGATTTTGGAGTGTTACTATTACAAAAAATAGAAGAGGATGAAGAGGATGGATGAAATTTGTTATAGTTTATCATGAAGCTGTATTTGTTCAAATATTTAACAAGTGTTGATAGGTTATATATGTGTGTTTTTAAAGAAGTAGTGGAGAAAGAAAATTTTAAATGAATGTTTGTGGTCAGAAGAATGCGCCATTAAATATTATTTACGAGAATAATGAAACTACTTTCTCACATACTACTGTATATGTACACGATCAGAAGGTGGAGGAGATGTAGAAGGAAATAAAAATAATAGATGGTAGAGGAAATGCAATAAGTTGAACGTTATGTTTAATAGATTTAGGTAACAATAATAAGTTATAATATTCTTCTAATAAAAATTTTTCATCGAATTATACTAATTATACTTAATGATTATTACAATTTTAATTTAAGTAGAATTTATTTAGTGTTTTGAGCATGAAACAAGTATGTTTTAAACATATTTCAAGTGTTATTTAAGCACATTTGACTATTATGAGGAGACACTTAAAACATTCTCGTTTCTTGCAAATTTAAGTAGAAAATAAGTATGATTTATTCTTAATTTCTAGAAAAATTATTTTTTTAAATACAAATAAATTTTATAAATAGCAATAATGATGATTATGATACTGTAATAATAAAGTAATAACTAATGTTATGCTTTGATGATCACGTGCGTAACAATAATAGTGAACTCCATTTTGGAAAAAAAGAAATATTAATACTATTACTATTAGTGTTGGTTGTATCCATCGATTATCCGGGTGTTTGAGTACCTGGTCAATCAATAAAACTCAACACCCGGATAATCGGTCAGTCAATAAAACTCAACACCCGGATAATTGGTCATTCACCGAATATCCATTGATTTATAATAATTATTTATTCGTCAGGAAAAATATTTTCAATACATTGCATATATTTTTTTTTAAGAAATACAAATAACAACGGATTGAATTTTATTCGTTCGGGTTTCCACAGCGGATGAATGAAGATTTTATGTTTTTATATTTTAATGTGAACGTGAAGCAAAAATTTTAAAAATCCTTTATGACAAGAATTTAATTATAGTCCGCTATGACAAGGTTTGGCTGTAGACGCTCATTTGGAGTAGAAGTTACTGCAATGCATAAATATTCTTTAGATAATATTGACACAGTTGGTATTCATATTACTTGATATATTATTATAATAGAAAGAATGTTGGTGATAATTATTAACACATTTTCTTTAGGAGACCCAAACCAAACCAAACAACTGCACTCACGTTTTATCACCTTGGGCTCTGTCAAAAAATAAATTGTTTTTCCAAAAAAAATCAATTCGCGTCTGTCCTACCAAAAAAAAACCAATAGGATAAATAAATTGGTGCGTACGCGTCGATCAAATAATAAACTTCTTTTTCTTTTTTTATTAAAGATGCCACCAAAGAAAGAAGCAAAACGAATGAACTGGGAGCTGAACGTGGGTAAGTGTTTTAAGGATGGTGGTGGTTATCGCCCGCCACTCGTCGTTACTCTAGTTATATATACATAAATAATTAGTGCACGCATTTGTCAGATCAAATAACAATTTTTTTTTTGAATTTTTTGTAAAAATGAACGCCAAAAAAATTTTAAAAAAAAGAAACAAAGGAAAATACATTGAGTAAGTGTTTATAAAAAGAATGACGTTGGTTATTGCCACTTGTCGTCATTCTAGTTATTAAATTGAAGTTTCGACTTTTGTATATATAACTTTTTACAAATTAGGAAAAAGAAGATAGTGAAAATACTGAGGTTAATACTTTTGAAATAAAAGAATTGAACATATTTTTAGAAAAATTGAGAAAAGTCACAATGGTATCAATTTGATTTTTTTTTTTTTTTTAAGAATCTATTATTTTTGAATGCATTTTATATAATTGATAATTTATATTTTCTTTATTGAAAAAAAAGATGAAAGAATGTGTTGAGACATGTCAATATCAAAATGTTAAAATTTTTAAAGAAAATTTTCAAATATGGAGATAAATGATCCAGCTGCTATCACATATGATGCTCCAATAGTTTCATATGTTGTAGATCTTTACAATATGGAAATAATTAAGCCAAGCTTTAGAAAGATTCTTGAAAGTTATCATAATCATATATTAACAAATTCCATCTACAAGGAATACAAAAATTCAAAAATGACACAATTTTTAAAAAATCTTTTGGATGTGAATAATTTTCAAAAAATTTATCACAATAATAAATATTTTTGTAGTCTAGCAGAAGTTATCAATTTACTAGACAAAGATAATGATGATGGTGATATTGGTAGGGAGGCAAAGACTAGTGCCGTAATCCAAAAAAGGAAAAAGTATGGTTGCAAAAGTGGTCGCAAAGGTAATTGTGTCCACTTTTTATATGCTGTAAATACAATTACTACCATCATCATAATTTATGGCTCTAGTCTTTATAGTGAAATCCAAAGAATTTCTCAATATTTCAAAAGAATTGTGCATAAAAGCATAGGTTTTGACATATTACTATAATTGTCTTTATTGTGTTATAATTAGCTAGTAAATAATAAATCTTATAGAATTACAAGGTGGAAAGTAATAAGAAAATCAAAATTAACCTGAGTGATATAATGGAAGGAGGCTTTGAACATGAAGTGGACATATTGATGGGATCACTTGAAAAATTTGCAGAAATTTTTCTTAAATGGCAAGGAAATTAATAAATAAATGAATTATTAAACATTATATTTATAAAATTTATTTGTCTAGGGGGCAATTTGCAAGTAATTCATCAGAATTTCGAAAAAAAAACATGGAAACAAGCCAGATGCTACCTTAAATTTAATACTTGCGTCAAGAAACTTATTGGAGATTGGGTTTTGTGAAGTTTCGGGTCCACCTTCAGTGATACTTTGGACAAATATAGAGATGATTACAACAAATTAGTACGATTTGGAGTGGATAGTAAAATTAGATTCCTTAATCATTTATTAACAATTAGTAAGTCATACTTGATAGAAAATTTAAAGGATGCCTTGAAACTTCCAGTTTTACTTATACAATGGAAAGGTTAAGTTATATAAAATTATTCTTAGTTTGTAATATTACATCTTAAAGATTAAAATAACTTATTTTTAAACATTATAGAACTAGAAATGGAAATTTTTTTATTTTCACAAGTTGGTTGTATGAAGGACAATGATACTGGAGATTTATTACCAATAGGACATGTAGCTAAATTAGACACAATTCAATATTCTTTTGAGATGCCCGAAACTTCATATTTCCTTCCAGCTCTTTTGAAAAAATTCACAACATTAGGAAAAATGCTTAAAGAAATCAAGAACAAGTATGAGAATCATATAAATAATGCCTATCAACACGAATTTGAGAGAGGATTTTTAACTCCTGAATGTAACGTCAGTGATATTCGTATCCCAAAAAAAATCCTGCTAGATGAAAAAAAACATTAATACAAGTCACAACAATTATTGCATTGCTTTTTATGATTAAATATTATAATAATTAATAATTAATAAATTGTCATGCTTTTTTCACATATCAGCCGATTTGGTTTTTTGGACCTTTTTTCAAACCTTATGTTTTATTATGTCTTGATGTTAAACACGAGTATTTTTAATGTGTAAACTGGTCAGTAGAATGATAATTAACCCTAAAAAAAATATTTGCTCCGCTAAAAAAAACTATTTTACTATTCAACAACCCGTCAAACCAATGGCCCCACCTCAAAACCAATGGGTTTTTGCTAGTATAAAGTATTCATAACGTTATGATCACACCGTACTGGATTTTGGGGTTCAAACCAAATCAGCGCATATGAGAAAACAAAAGTCTGCAAAAAAAAATTTTTCGAACCCTGCAATTTATGTTAACTTTGCAGTATGCCCCATTTACAATTTTCATGGCAAGTGTTATATTATCATCTGTTTCTATTGGTGGGTTTTCCATCCTTTACAAAATTCTATACAATGCACAAGTCATAATAAAATTAATTAGTAAATGTTTTGGTGGTTAATATAATTTTTTTATAGATGGGTATATTTGTATGCAGTATATGATCAGACCACTTCTGTCTATTTATTTATATGAAAATTTGAAACAATCAAACTCCTACAACATTTCACGATATGGAATAATTTTCTGAAGATATAACTATTCTAATGAATTTCCAGGTAACAAATTAATAATAAATATTTTGCGAATTTAATTTCATGGTATTGATTATATGATAGTTGTCTTTTATTATTACGGGCAAATGTTCTTAAAGCGCAAGTCTACCAAAAAAATTTGTATATAAAACACAACAAGTCATTCATTTATTGATAAATAAACAACACACAAGTAAAGGAAAATTTATTGAATACGAGCATAAAAAAAATATGCATTTCAAGAATTGCATTGGTTATAACATTGATTGCCGATCCTTTTAAAAAATAGTATGTGGAAATTTTAAATCTCACCCTCTCACAATGGTAAGAAGTATAATAATAATTTTATATTTTTTTGTGGTCATGTAGCACTTTTGAGAAGCAAGCACTTGTACTTTTATCTGGTTTGGTAAATCATTACAAATTTGGAAATAATTTCCCAAATATATAATTTTCCAATTTCTATTTAGAACGCGTGAATTCTTTCATTTTTTTTTATATTGTTATGTAACCAACCACCGCACATAAATAATAATTATTAACCCCCAATTTCTTTCATATGTCAAGGGTTCTACTAGAAGTTACTTTGATATTAATGCCTGCTACAATAGCAATAGTAATATTGTGATACTAGGAAATATTATTATTGGTAAAAAATTAAAGAATTTTGATATTTTTTTTTGTTCTAGAAAAAATTTTTTTTTTGAGGTTTTTTTTTTTCTTTTTAAAAAAAAATTTTTTTTTAAAGAAAAAGAAAAAAAACTTCCTTCTACTAATTAATAATTAATTAATTAAATATAATTTATAAATAATTATAAATAATTATATTGTTATATAATTCATATATACACACACATATATATTGTAATAATATATATAAAGAAAATAAATGGATTCTAGAAATGTGTCTTTAATTGTCGAAGATTTATCACCCCCTTCCACTACAATCTCTAATTCTACTACAACTACACCTAGAACAGCATCTCCATCTCAAACCACCGCAGCCTCTGAACTTGTTCATGCTCACATGCTGAATTTATCCCTGTCACCTAACAGCAACGACGATAACAATACTAGAAATTTTAATAATAATGGCGCATCTATTTCTCAACAACCACAACAACCAATAACTTTTGTATTTGAAAGATTCTGTCCTGGAGGCCTTTCAAAATCTGTTTCTTTAAACTCTCCATCTCCATCACCTAGACCTAATTATCAGACTGAAGATAATAATAGTAATATGGTGATGATGAATACTGATATTATGGAAGTTACAAATTACATTAATAATATTAATAACAGCAACAACAATAATCATAATCATATTAGCGGCAATATTATTAGCAGCAATAACAATAGTATTAGTAATAATAACAATAATATTAGTAATGTTACTACTACTGCTGCTAAGAATAACAATAGTATTCATAATACCAATGTTGTCACTCAAACCAATGATAAAAGGAATAAAAAAAATAACAAAAGAAAACAAGTTTCTTCATCTTCTACTACTTCATCAATCTCTTCGTCCTCATATAGACTACCAATTAATATTGATTCACCTGTTTCTTTGAATTCTTCAAATAGAGAGGATGATTCAAAATCTGAATCGGAATATGATGATAACATGGATATTTGTAGAAGTGAAGTTTGTTCTGTATGTAAATTTTATTTTGTTTTTTCTTGGGAGTGGCAAAAACTTCCATGTCTCATACTTAATATCTTTAATATTTTTAGGAATATGATATGGAAGAATCAGCGGTGGAAGGATTGAAAAGATTATTAATGAAGTTTACAGCAATGACTCCTACAAGACTTCAATCAATTCTGTCAATATTATTGGATAATGATATAGATGATGCTGACATATTGTTATTGATAGATAATGAACAATTTCTTCATACTCTTCGTGGTAAAAATGGTTCAGAAATTAGCCGGGGTAATTGTTTATTACTTTGGCATGGGATACAAGAATATCGTAATTATTATTATTCCACTACAACTACACTTCATCACACTCCAAAATCTTTTTCCTCTTCTTGTTCATCGATAACTTCTTCTTCCTCTGTCTCATCTATATCATCATCTTCTTCATATTATTCACCACCTCCATCATCATCTGCATCTTCTTTTTCATCTATGTTATCATCTTCATCACCTTCATCATCAAGAGCAATTGTTAATCATGATCTGACTGCTTCAAGATTATTAAATCCCCCAAAATCAAAAAGACCAAAATTAGATCATCATCATCACCACCATCACCACCATCATATAAATGAAAGAGATGAATTTAGGCACAACAACAACAACAATGATGATGATAATAATAATAGATCAAACATTAATATTATTGGTGGTAGTAATGTTTCTAATAATAATAGTCTTGGTAGAAATACAAATAGATCCTCATCATCATCAAGTACATCAAAATCATCATCATCATCTCACATTATTATGCCTTCAATATATGTAAACAAACAAAGAGTGAAGGCACCTAAACTAAGTATGTCAACAATAGAAGAAATACATACCAGAGTGGATTGTGTGTTGAGTGTTGTAACCAGTGAGAATGAGCGTAGAAGGCAAATTGCTCTTGCTCATAATCCAAATTCCAAACCAACTTTGAAATTTGAAAATTTTGTTGCAGAACTCAAACAATCTCACAGAATCCCAGTGGCATTTGGTACATTGCGTGATATGAGATTTGCTTATATGCTCAAAAAATTGGATAGACAACATTATGAACAAGTACTTGCTTCAAATAAAAGTAATGTGACTGAATTTTATCGAGCTTCTCAAGAGGTTTGTGAGAATCTTTTTTCTGATGAACAATTGGAATCTGCTTTACCTTGGTTGGAACTTAAAGCCAAAATGTATTACAAGTGAAGAATATTTCCAAGGGGGAAAGATATTTTTTGATTAATAAACCATTATCTTTTTGGATAATATTTGTCTTTTAATTAATATTATATAATAATATTGTTGATTAAAACAAATGAATGAAATGAATACAAAAATTAAATATAATTCCTACAGTTTATATTTCATTCATGCATTATATATATTATACATTTTTTATATATTTTTATTATATATATATAATATTGAACAAAAAAATGGACATTTTTTATTTTTTTCAAAAAAAGTATTATTTATATATTATATTAGTTTTTGTAAATATAAAACAAAAAAAAAATTTTTTATTAATGAAGAACATGAATAAATTATCCATGTTCTTCCAAATATTTCTAATATTAGAAATATAATTATGAAATACTATGTACCAACCAGTTAATAGTAAAGAAAATATATATATAATCAGAAATTATTATTACATATTTTATTTGTCATTATATTAGTTATATCATATGTTATATGGGGCATACTCCAACAAAACCAGACAAAGTGAACATTAGTATAACCAAGAATTTCAGGGATCAAAATTTAGTCATTTGTAATGTGATCATAATTAACAGTTTTATAATGTCTCAT